TCTATAGATTTTATGGATAAAACTATGAATGAGGATTCGATAAGATGGTTGTGACTGCGGTCCTTCATCCGAACTAGTTCATAGATTTTGAAGATGAAATAAGGGTGACATATCAAGGAGAGGTGTCCTTTGGAATAAGGATGACATATCAAGGAGATGTGTCTTTTGTAATAAGGGTGACATATTAAGGAGATGTGTCTTTTGGATATAAGGGTGGCAATTGTGTGTGAATATTATAGCTCTTACTATTATGTCTTTTAAGATTAAAATATATCTGAGTCCTTACTTCTTTGTGATTTGAGAACTCAAAGATATTGTTCTTATTAGAAATAATAGTATTGATGTTATTGAGAAGGGGAAAACATGGGCTATGGCCATTGATATTGGTTAAAAAGTGTTTTGGAGCAGAATGATTATTTTTATGAGGAATCAGAGGGGCTCTGGTTATTCCTTGAAAGGAACCAGAGGGGCTCTGGTTGGTCCTCATTATTGGACCAGAGGATTCTGGTTATTGATTTGGAGAATGAGCAAGTTTTTATTAAATGTATTAATTGGATCAGAGGCTTTGTATATATTAATAAGAGCTTCTATGTCAAAATCATATTTTTAGAAGTTTTTGAGGAAAAAAATTTATACTTAAAATCTTTTTATGAAAAATAGACCAGAGAGACTGTGGTTGGCTTACACGTTGAACCAGAGAGGCTCTAGTTGATCATGTCTTTTGAACAAGAAGCTCTGGTTAGTACAACCAGAGGGGCTCTGGTCGAAGAACCAGAAGCTCTGGAAAAGAGACCAGAGGGGCTCTGGTCCTGGTTATTGAAATATATTCCAAGTGTGGTTTGGAACCAGAGGCTCGTTGGATCAAAACAGAATCTAATTTTTATTCCGCATATTGTGGAATGATTATTTGATAAATGTTTTGGTGATCTTCACCCTGCATTACATAAAAGGGAACCTCACTAGACATTAATGTCTAACCCTCATTGTGTGTTTTCAAAAATATGTGTGCAGATAATGATAATAAGGGAAAGAGCATCATGTGAATTACTTCCCTATGTGCTTAGCTGTTTTGGAAGCATAGATGCTAGGATACAAGAGCATGTACTTTTGGAAATTTTGGGTTGCGTATTTTACATTATAGACTTTTGTATTATGGACCTATGTGGGAGAAGACATGTATTCTATGTATAATATATGTGTTATATGCAATGTACGGATTGAGGGTGTTACAATTATCCTCATAGTTAATGGACAAGTTAGATGGCAACTAGTGTGAGGGGCCAAATTCAAGACAAATTGCTTAGGTGGAAGATTCTTTTGCAATAAATAAAGATAAAGAACTAGTTTCATAGAAAATACAAATCCTATGGACCAAAGCCATAATTTACTCTAAAATTAATTAATAATTTCAAATTAATATTAATAAATAAATAATAATAACAATTATTATTAATTAATAATAAATGAAAATTAGTATTAATATTGGTACAATTGTAATAAAGTGGTATAAGGTTTATGGAGTTTATTGAAATACTACTGCAAGTAACGTTTTAATAAACTACTTTTTGTCTATCTAAACAAGACTTCTGCGATAAGTTCAAAACATAATCTAACTTATCCATCAAACATGGCCTAAGTCTTAATATTTTTTGAATAAATAAATCACATTACAACAAAATTGGGTTTATAGGAAGCCCCCAATCTCTAAGTGTCATAATAAACCATTTTATAAGACCAAAAAATATAAAACGTCTTATTTAAAGGCGTTGTTATAAGTTTACACGACGCTATTGGGCGTCTCAATAAGTTTTTAAGACATTTTTAATATAAAGCGTCGCATTAGCAACCTTATAGGACACTTTTGAGAAAGTGTCCTATAAACTCAATTTTTTATATGACACTTGTTTTTATAGGACGTTTTTTTTCTTCAAATAATTAATGTCTTATAAAGTTGCTAATGAGACCCTTTATATTAAAGTGTCTTAAAAAACTATTATGACGTCAAAAAATGTCATATAAACTTATTACAACATGTTTAGATAAGACACTTTATTTTTTGGTTCTATAAACTAAGTCCAATAAAGATATCTGTTATGACGCTTAGAAATTGATATCGTCTTATAAACCCGATTTTGTTGTAGTTTCAGTTACTTAAATTCTTACATATGGAAATTGGTTACACAAAATTATGGGATTCAACCATTGGAAATTCTTACTTTAGCTTATCACCTCATAAGTCAAGAAACATTCAATATTCGTAACTACCGAGCTTGTTCTTGATATTCTAGCTGGCACCCATTTTAGTCTTGCTAGGTTGTGAAGTTACACCATTTTTGAACGAGGATTTGTTTAGTGTATTTAATTGAGGTTGTTGTTCCACCAAAGGGTATTGGGAAAGACTTGCTAAGTCAACGAGGAAGATGGGGATCCCTACCCTCTTGGGATTTTAAATTAAATTATAAAATTTTAATAAAAGTAAGAATAATATAAAACTAATTTCATATAAAAAAATCCATCATTTGTCACATATATACCAAATAACGTTGACACAATGTTTAAGTCATTCGCTATGTTGGTATGGTAACCGATAAATGTTTATTTCAGTTATCTTAGTACTTAAATATTTCAAAATTTACATTTTAGGTTATGTTTTCGTACCTTTTGTCCAATTTTTTTCTTAACTTGAAAAATCTACATGTAACCAGCTACACATATTTTGAAATTAAAAGAACACTTTGAATCGGTTTTATATTGTTTCAAAACCCTACAATGTTCAAGCCCCCCTCGCACCCAACGTTATTGCTTCCCCTCACTTCACCACCCCTCGTGCCACCACATCGTCATCTGCTCCTTCATCACAACCTCGTCTTTGTTGGCCGTTGTTGTCGATCTTCCTTTATTGAGTTGTTTTGTTTTTTTGTTTATTATTTCCACTGAAAATTTGGAAAAAGGTGGAATTGGAAAAAAAAACAGATCAAAAAGAGGGAGATTGATGACATAATGCAATCAAAACTATGGATGGTGATGAAGAGTTGATGATAGAGGCAAGGGAGAGTGATGTCGTTGGGTTTGAGAATAGTAAAACTGATTTAAGTTTTTTTAATTTAAAATCTTCCTGACAAGTAGGTTATTTGCATTAAAAAATATAGGTAACTAATTTCTAGAAGTCAATTGTTCATTTATTTAAATAATTTAGGAACTTAATCATTTAAAATAAAAAATCCAATAGTTAATTTATTTAGAAAAATTCAAACATTTATCTGTTTAATACGAGTTCTTTTTTATTCATGGGATGATATCAGATTATAAAACCAGACCTTATAGAAATACATGTTTTATCTCTATATGTACTTTTCGATGTTTATAAAAGAAGTCATAATTTGAAAATTGTCTTAATATTCAAGTGTAAACATAAGGACTTCTCAGACAATTGTCTGAATGGAAACAAATCTGAGCTTACTTAAAAAATTCTGAATCACAACTACTCTTTCAAATTCTTGCTAAAATACAGTAGCATATTAATTTATGGTCATATTCCAAGTACAATCATTCAATTCAATTACAGTTTTTAATGTACTGCGTTGAATAGAAGTGCTCAATTGGTATCTACTTCAACGATAAATAGTTTCTGGGTATAAATTTATGAAAGGCAAAAGCGACGTCATTGAGATATAATGGTTTTATAAAGCAATTTAGCATAAACTCATGGCTGCTATAATTAGTTCTGAATGTGAAGGGATCTACAGCCTGCAAAACCATATTATTGAATAAAAATGGCCAACCAAGAAGGAAATTCCGGTAGTGTTGTTGGCATACGAGGTAACCCCTATCTTTCTTTTTCAAGTTTTGTAATTTTGAGCTAACGTATCAAGTTTTGTATACTAGGGGAGTTTGAGCTAACATATCCAATGCCAAGTGTGGACGCCGAGGTTGGAGGAGGACCTAGAGACAAAACGAAATGGTGGCATCGTAGCACACATCAAAACAAAACGAAATGGTGGCATCGTAGCACACATCGAAACAAAACGAAATGGTGGCAGTACCGCAATCTACAACGAGACAAAACGGTGGCATGGTTAAGGAACAGAAAACAAGTGCCACTACAACACCGTTATGAAGCAGTGGCATGGGACACCGTATACTCCAAGCTAGGCCCTCCCCTAGTTGGAGGTGTACCTAACAGTTCAGACACCATCCAAATTCTTCTTGATTGCAAAGAAAACGGACAAAACCTTTCCAATCAACTTCCACCATCAATTTACATGATTCCTAGTAGTCTCCGGGATCTAAGCCCGAGTTCTTTTGAACCTCAGGTGGTTTCTATTGGACCTCTGCACAGTAAAGATGAAATGGTGCAAGAATTTGAAGCACAGAAAGCGACTTATCTTCATCATCTATTAGATCGTTTTGATTTCCCACCAAGGCAAATACTGGATGCATGTTTGCAGAGGGTGAATGCTTCAATACACAAAATCAGGGCATGTTACGGTGGGATGAAGACCTACACAGACGAAGTTGAACTTGCAAAAATGATGGTAATGGATGCTTGTTTCATACTCGAATTCCTTTTCCCGACGGAAGAACATGAGGTTCTAATTTCTAGAAATGTTATCCTCGAACAATCTATTTTCCATGACCTGGTCTTGCTAGAAAATCAGATCCCTTTCTTTGTTCTTCAAGACATCTTTGACTGCACACTTTCTAAATTACCAACATGGCCCTCTCTATGTCTTGCTTCTGAAGTCCTTAAACGTTTACAATTTCTCAACCCCTTCAAAGTAAGCGGAAATGATGTTGTGGGTACAACTCCTCATCATATTCTTGGCCTTCTGCAAACATATTTCCATCCAGCACAAAATATCCCAACAACCTGCCCAACATTCCCAATGTCCAACCACTATGCTACAGAACTGGATAAGGCCGGAGTGAGATTTAAGCCTAATAATAATGGAAATTGGCCAATGGCCATAGATTTCAGTTCATCTCGGCTTGAATGTTTTAGGTGGTGGTGGGGCAACCGTACTCTTAGAATGCCGGCACTGTGTATTGATGATAACACTGAGCTATTTTTGAGGAACATAATTGCATATGAGCAGTGCACTCCGGATGTTCCTGATTACGTTACATCATATGCTTGTGCCATAGATATGCTAGTCGATACTAAAGAGGATCTTTCCAAGTTGGTAGAATCAAAAGTCCTCAGCAACGACTTGGGTTCAAACCAAGAAGCTACAAATATGCTCAACCGCATATCCAAACAAGTCGTCTTTGCGGAGTTCTATTACATGGAGCAGTGGAAACAGTTAGATATGTATTACAATGGTTACTGGCCCAAAAATGTTGCACGGTTGAAGCGTATATATTTCAGTAGTCCATGGAATATAATTGCTCTACTTGCTGGTATTGTCCTGTTCGCTCTTACCATATTGCAGACCATCTTAAGAATCAAGAAGTAGTTTCTTATTGTTTGTTTTTAGTTTTCTTTTTTCTTTGTACACTCTTTCACATGTTTAATGGTCTTCTCTTCTCTTTTCTCTCTCTCTCTCTCTCTCTCTCTCTCTCTTAAAAAGTCATCGATGTCGATACACTTTCTCCAAATATCACTTTCTATCTGTGTATGTATCTCCAAATATCACATATTTGTCGATTCACATATTTGTAATTGTGTATGTATCTCCAAATATCACTTTCTATCTGTGTTTAGAAATTACGTGAATGTACACACTCATTTTAATTTAAAATAAATTAAAAAAATAATACCCAATAAAACAATCCTGTCCGTTCAATGAAAACTTGATACATGATTATTTTATGTTAATTAATTAATTCAAATTAAAAACGATTAACACTGTAATTGATGGGAGGGGGTATCGGTGTTAATGGTTTTGAATTTAATTAATTAATCAGTATAAAATATAATTAGGTGTCAAAATTTTATTGGGTGGACAGGGATGGGATACGAGGCAAGAGACACCAGATTTTCTTTCATAATTGACGGGATAGAAAGGGAAGAACCGAAGACATGAAATATTTATAATCTTTGGTTGCATTTCGTACATGGAACCCAACGACGCGAGATTAACGTACTGTTTTCCATGTATGGCATGATATGAGTAAGACAAATTCGATTTGTTTCATGTTTGACGTAATATGAGATTAGGAGAGGAACTTGATGGAACAAAAAAAAACTTCTTTTTATTTCACCCAAGAAGATGGAACAAAAGTCGGAAGTTTGGGACAAAACGAAAAAAGAAGAAGTTAGGTTAGTGTCTAGAACCTTGAAAAATGTTTTTATGGGATATGTTGAGAATTCAAAAGTTTATAGACCTTTAGATTTAAAATCAAATGTCTTTGTGGAATCTCGATATGTTGACTATTTCAAAAATAAATTTAAATGTGATTCCATGTACAAGCTCCCATGATCACATCAAATCCCACTTCAAGATCCAATATGTAATCCTTCTACGACCAATAAAAAGGCCTTTACTTGATTTATGAACCTAGAAGTAGTGACCATTTTCATGAGTTGATATGGGAAACCGCGGTCAAACTCTAAGCATATTTCCGACTCCCGCTAACTCTGCCAACCGAGGTGGAATCCGGGATGCCGTATTGATTCCTTTGATCTATGATTCTTCGATTACAAAAGTATCTACATAGTAATGTTATTCTAAGCTACAACTTTATCTATTACATTACTGTGATAACCAGTTATCCAATGTTAAAGCCCGGGGTGGTTTTTGAAAAGTTTGGGTAAGTTGAGGGATTTAAAATGCTTATTTGCTTTAATAATTTTAAAAGAAATATCATCACCGTCTCAATAGTTTAAGTGGTTTTAATATGAGATAATTTTTATCTCATGGATATTTGTTAAAAAGTTGGTACAAAGCTTTATGTGTGTGATCTCTTGTGCAAAGAAAAATAGAAACCTAAGAAGGAAATTAAAGAAGTTGATTTTGTGTTATTGTCTGAATAATCTGTTGCTGTTTATCTTGTATCTTCATCTGCGTAAGCACATAAGGTGAGTTTTAGTTTATATAAACTTTCCTTATTTGGAAACTGGGTTTCGAACCATATAGTTCTTTATAGGAAATTGTTGTTAAAACTGTTTTGATGCAAGAATTTGGCAAAGACTATGGGTTATTGTTATTGTAAAACCCCACATCATACATTACATGTAACACATACTTCATTCAAAAGGAATACATGTATTACACCACTTAAGTCCCAAAGTACAAGAAATTATCGTACAAAATACATAGCCCAAAAATTCCAAAATACAAGTTCTTGTACAGATCATCATTTATCTACAAAATTAGATTCATCATTAACTGATCTCCACACAGATATGCACACAGGAAAATATTACATTTTCCCCTTCCCCTTACCTTAGTGTAACCCAGCAGTTCCGGCAATACATATTTAGAAATGCAAAATAAGGGTTAGACCGGAAGGTCTAGTTAGATCCTTTTTTCCATGTAACTGCAGGGTGAAAATCACCAAAACTTTATTAAAATCAACTTTTCATATAAACAAATACATAACCATGTAATTCATATCTACCAGTGCCCCTTTGGATCCCAAAACCAATCTCTTACTTTATAACCAAAAACAGGCTAGAACCTTTCAGGTTCCATATAACTCATTTCTAATCACTTTTATCAGAAATACGATTATTCAAAACCTCTGGCCAAAAGCCAATTATTTCTTTCTCAATAACATCCTTACTACCATTTCCAACAAGAACCATGTCCATGAATATTTAAATCACAAAGAAATAAGAATTCAGAAACATCGTAATCTTAAAATGATATAATAGTAAGAGTTATATTAATATATACGTATACAAATGTCACCCTTATATCCAAAGATACACATCTCCTTGATATGCTACTCTTATCCCAAAGTACACCACTCCTTGATATGTCACCCTTATTTCCTTATCAAAATTTACAGATTATTTCTAATCAGGACAGACCAAAGTCACAAAAATCCTAATGGAACACCATCTATATTTTTAACCAGATTAGTTTCAAAATGAACATTGTATACTCTTTCTTTTATCATTTTGAAAAGAACATTATGTCCTTAACATAATCAAATTTGAATAAAATATTCTTACGAACTTATCCGGTCAACATAATTAATTTTAGCCGGACTTCATATCCGGTCAAGCTCTGGCCGGATTACTTATTCGAACAAAACTCTTCCATTAAGGTTGAACACAATCAAATCCAGTCAACATTTAAATTAAAAACACTTTATAACTCGAGTCCGGTTAACTCATGGCCGGACTTATTTGTCTCCGATCAACACTAGAGCCGGATAGGCTCCAATCTGGTTAAGACCACTACCGGACTCACACCTCTCTGGTCAAGACTATGGCCGGATTCATTATTTCAAAATTTCACTAACACCTTGTCCGGTCAACACTATGACCAGACATATCCACTCCTGTCAATACTATGGCCGGAGATAAACTTAATCCGGTCCACATGCTTTCAAGAACATAATATAATTTCAATATATAGAAACTGAAATTTGTATGCATTAAAATGTTTAAAACCACTCACCTTATTGCAATCTTAAGAGCAAGTATGAAGAAATCCAACTTTTAGTTCCAAACTAATGCAAGTAATCCGCTTAGAATTCTCTCAAGTTCCACAATGGCCAGAAAAACTCAACCTTAAACCTTTACCACATATATATACCCTTTCCACATGTGGAAAGGCGGCTACACTCACATGCATGCATGCATGCATAAGACTTGTGCATGTAAAACATGCACCCATGTATATTAATAATCCATATGCCATGCATACTTTCATGCATTCAAAACATACTCATACCACATTTCATGCTTCATACATACACATCTCATGCATATATTCATAGGATATGCATATACTCAAAATTATGCATATATTTCTATGCATGAGAATATATATACTTACGTGATCAAATATGCATTCACATAATCATATATCAAATAATCACGTATTGATTACCTCAGGTGATAACCAAGACCCGGTTATCACATTATCCACCCCTCAAAAAAAATTTGTCCCGTAATTCCTTTGATAAAAAAGCCACGGATACTCAGTTTTCATTTCTGATTCCAATTTCCAAGTTGCCTCAAACCCCTTGTGATACCAGCACTGAACTTTTACCAGCCTGATCTCTTTATTCCGTAGAACTTTAGTATTCTGATTAGTTACTGTTTTTGGGGTTTCTACAAAATTCAACTTGCTGTCTAGCCTGACTTCTGGTAGAGGCACTGCCAGACTCGGATCTGCCAAACACTTCTGCAGATTAGACACGTGGAAAGTGTTATGAATTAAACTAAGTTTCTTTGGTAGTTCCAACTGATACACAACCATTCCAACGCTTACAAATTCTGAACGGGCCGATATACCTTGGACTGAGCTTACCTCTTTTACCGAATCTGACTACCCATTTCCATGGCGAGACTTTCAGCATCATGATAAGTCCAAATTTATACAAATATATGCTTAAAAGGGGTCAATTTAATTTAACTTCTAGAGACTATTTAAGTTGAAAATGTGTTGATTTTGTGTTATTTTTGTGGCCCAAACAGCAGCCCAAAATCAGCCGAAAAACAAACAGCCCAAAAGAAACAACAGCCCAAGCCGTGAACAAAGAAGAGGCAACAGGGCTGCTGCCCAAAACAGAAACAGAGCGAGAGACGTGGGCAGCGAGAGAGAGGTCGTGCAGCAGGAGATCGTGGGCAGCGAGAGCAGGAGATCATGGGCGAGTACGAGCTGTCGATAGGGGCTGTCGGTACAGAAGCAATCGAGAAGGACAGCAGCAGGCATTACCATAACCTGTCGATCGGTGGATTGAAGAAATCGAGAGCAGCAAACAGAAGCCGAGCAAGGCAGAAATCAAGAGGGGGTTGTTCGATTGACGGCAGAATCAAGAGGATACTTGAGGCAGCAGCCGGGAGGAGACTGGTGGCGTTGAAGGAGAGAAGGGTTCTGTTCGATTGGGGGGGCTGTCGCGAGGGCAGAAGGGGCTGTCATCGAGAGAGAAAAATAAGCTGTCGATTGAAGGCAGTTTATCGAAGCTRTCATCGAGAGGCTGTGGATTGAGGCGAGAGAGACAGCAGGTGGTGGATTGAAGGCTGTAAAATYGAGGGCAGAAGGGGCTGTTCAGCAGAATCGAGCAGCCGAGAAGGAGAAGAAGAAGCTGTCAAGGACAGCTGGTTATCAAGGCAGCAGAACGAGAGGAAGGGGGCTGTCAATTGAAGAAAGGTAGCAAACAGCGGTCGGTGGAGATGGAGAATTAGAGGACTAATCAWGATTTTCAAAAGGATTGATCAGGACTGGATTCGTTGAAGAAACAGTAAACCTATTTCTAGATATTGGGTGGCGATTTTGAAGACAAATTCCAGGTTTCTTCACTAATTCTTAAATATCAATCATTTTGTAAATTCTTTTTTAGTTCTAAGTATGAGTAGCTAATTTTGTTATTTCTAGTAATGGGTATGTGATCACTTTGAATTTGGATTTGTTGAGACTCGCATMAATTTTAATRTCATTTGAAGCTATTTATGCGATTTTAGA